GCATCAAAACTTAAAGTGCATAGAACAGAACCAGATTCCAGATAAACATAGCATTACACCGTCCCTTAACCTAGCTTATGTATTTAGATTCAAATCTACTGAAAGAACGCATATTTTCGATAATTGGCTCAATCATTAAAAAATGTAAATGTCAAGTGCCTGATTGTAAATTGCCCGCCACTAAAAAAGTAATATTTTCATTATCTCTAACATCACAGCAAGAATTGAGAGCAAGCAATCAAAGAAGAATAAAACGCATGGTTCCAAGAAAGATCAGAACCCAAAAGATTCAAAATTTAACAATCCAAAAGCAGATCAGAGTTGAAAAGTAGAGCTGAAAAGGGAGTGATTGGGTCGGCACAAAAAATAAAAATAGGATCTTTTCACATCAATCCAATCATAAATCACGATAATTGTAACATGCAAGGAAGCATTGATAGAAGGTGAAACAGATCTAGATCTAGAAGCAAGGGTGCAGACCTTGGAGAAAAGGAGAAGCGAAGAGGAGAAGGGCGAGAGAGAAAAGCAAAAATTTGTGGATGGAGGCCATGGTGGTGTAGGGCTGGAGTTGGTACCAAATTTCAACGTGTGAAATTTCAACCCTGAAACACAGATTTGTAATTTGTAATGTTGGAGAAGGAGATTTCCAACAACGATGTCGTTTACATGTGGGTCATACTCTATTAGCTTATATGTCTTAAATACTGTTTTTCATTGGTTGTTTCACGTGGCACATGCTGACTCACTAATTTTCTTGTCTATAGTAACAACTGCATCATAAGATAATTCATCTTCTTTCAATGATTTATTTTAAGATATATGGCTAATGATTACTGTAGTATAATATCACGTTATTCATTCTTTTATTCGTTGAAATAAATAAAAAATTAGCAGTTGTTTTTTGAAATTTTTAAAATAATAGTAATTTAGGTTCGTTTATCTTTATAAAAATTATTGTTGATTTTATTATAATTTTCTAAAAGCAATTTTTCATCGTTCAATTAGATTTCTAAGTTGTTTATAATTTTAAAATTGAGATATAAACAAATTTTAAAAGCTATTATATTATAAATTATTGTTTAGAAAAAGTTGCTACAATGTATATTAATTAATAAAAAAACATTTGTACCATTAACTATGATTTAAAGAAAACCAAATAATAAAGTACTAATAAATTTATTATTTCTAAAAAACTAAATTCAAATAAATGATAAATATAAACCACTTAAAAGATAATGGGTAAAGAGTCGATCTTTCTCTGGCTGTTTATTTAAATTTTATTTTTAAAAAATCCAAATAAAAACTATCAACAATATATAATAGATAAAGAGTCACTTAAAGATAATTAAAATACATATATTTATTATCTAATATTTCTTTTGCTATTTAAAAGTCCATTTGTTAAAGTAGTACATTAACAACACTGAAATAACCTTTGGGTGAGATGTGATTGATAATAGATTTTTAGTTTCTGTCTTTTAAAAATAACAAAGGGATTGTTAGTTTTTTTGAATTATACTTATATATATTTTTTTAAAGGAAAAGTTTTTTTAACAATTTTTTACAACTTTGTGATTGATTCATTTTAAATATATCAATCAATAACATAGTACACATAATCTATTAGTACACATAATCTATTGTCAAAAAATTGTTAAAAATAATTGTTAACATATCATATCCTTTCATACAAAATATATATTCACGTCTCCTATATTATAAATAAAACAATCATTTTCTTATTTATATTTATACATGTATTTTCTCTCAACATATTCATATTTGTATTAAATATTATTTAAATACAATAATAAGTTAATAAACTCAATCACATCTTTTATAAATATTTATTTGTATATTAAGATAATTTTTTTCAAATGTATAATTTTTATAAGACAATAATATAATATTTTTAGACATTGGTAATATATAATGATTAAATAAAATAATTTTTACAAAGACAAATATTTTTACATCTTTTTCATAAATTTTTATTTAAGTTTTAATGACAACTTATTTTTGAAAAAAAAGATAAATATCATTCTATTAAAAGTAATATAAATATCATCTTAGTTTTATATGAACGTCTAGTAAAAGGAAATTATTATTATTTCATTAAAAAAATAATTAGTAATTATTTCTAAATCAAAATGGGAAATGTTATTATTTCCAAAAACAAATATTGAATAACTATTTTTAAATTAAAAAAAGTTCGAAAGATATTTAGTATGTTCTTCTAATACACATATTTAGATGTTTTAATTTTTTTGTTGTCAATTATAAGTTATCGTCACATTATATTTTCTAACTGTTTTAGGTAATTTCTTAACATAATAATTATTTCATCTTTTGGTAAGAATTATAGATAATCTTTTAACGTAATAATTATTTCATTTTTTTTATAAAACTTTTATCATCATATACCATTTTGAAACAATGGTTTCAAGCTGAGTGGGTGTTCTTTGGTTAATTGGGATGTTGTATAAAATGTTGACCTCTATTATAATATATCAAACTATTAATATTTCATATATTTAATTTTTTCAAACATTGCAAGTAGATTGACACACCGTTTGGTATGCATTCATTCTTTACCTAATCTTAATAAGTCTCGATAGTATTAGATTTTTTTCGACCGATAAAGTACGTCGATTTAGGTTTCTTATCAATTAATATCTTTTTTACCCACAAATTAGTTAGGATGGCAGAGACAACAATTAGGAATTGATGCAAAAGTATTCATTTGTAAATGTGATGAATGAAAAAGACCGAGGTGATAACAAACTCGGTGAATTTATGCTTTTATATATATATATATATATATATATATATATATATATATATATATATTTATTTATTGCATACTCATATTACTTCCGTAAACTTTCATTAGAAATTTTTCTAACAACAGTGTGTTGGGATAAACTTAAATTTTAAGGATTTATTAAAATCTTATTTTATTAGTTTTGAGTTTATTAATATTTGATTTTGATAGAGATAAAATATATAGGTAGTTTTGATTTTCCTTTTATTTAGGAGAGTAGTATTTTATTTTATAAGATAGAGATAGATTAGGTAGATTTTTATTTTAAGTTAGTTGATATTCTATTGTTAGTTTTTATTATTTGTACTTGGCCCAATGCTCTATTTGTACCTATTTAAAGGTTGCCAAGGTTCAATGAAAAAATAACCTCAGTGAATTGAAGAGTATTATTATTTATGTGGGTCACGTTTTTCCCAACATAGTGTTCATAGTTCCTTTTACGTCATTTGAATTTTGTCGAGGTTGTTTCCTTCTTTTGTGTTTATGTTAAGGTTGTTCTCTTTGTTTAGGTTTAGGTCGAGGTATTGGTTGATCTTTTTGATGATTTCTCTATTTTTAATCTTGAAATCTATCACATAATCATTGTCTCTTCCTCTTCCTCCTATTTGACCATAACGTTATCCTCCTAATTTGACTTAACCATTTTTTCATGAAACATCACATGATCTTGACTAGACAAGGTATACTCTATGACACTCTTTTGTAGTGTGACCTTAATTTTGATTATATATACACCTTTTGGTTGAATAAACAAAAATACGAGGTGATATAGGTTGTTGAAGTCATACTGGTTTGAAATTATTGAACCCTTGATGACGACGTCTCGACTAACAATCACAGGGTGTAATTTTCATACTTATTGGTATGCCTTCTTGTAAAGGATTGTGACATTCGTGGTAGATGAAGAGGAAGAAACGTTAGTCACTATTTTTCTTACATTTGAGCGTTCCTCTATGTTGATATACCACTTATGTGAAGAGCTTTTTCATGTTGGTAGGTGGGTAAACATACACTACACTAATGAATTTTCTAGACAAAGTCCTACTGTAACATGCGCATATATAGCCATCACTGACTATATGTTGTGATATGGACATACACTTTAGCAAATCGAGTGAAATATTGTTGAATCTTGCAAAAGAAAGTGTCAGCTGAATCTCTTAAAATAGACTACGTTACATTGTTGGTTTTGGTCAACATCTTAGGATTGATTATTAGGTTGAAGTTGTCATGTTCGTTTCTCAGTTGCCCCTCTTTGCTACCAAGTATTGCATGTTGGCTGTAGCCCATTTTAATAGGTTTTGCTATTGTGGTTAGATGATATTGAGTGACATGCTTAGTGCACTAAGTTCTAGCCTACACATTTGGCTAAATTGATGTGTTGTTCGATTTTGGTTGAGTATGATGAGTTGCTTGTGGAAATCCTTCAATTTGACTTAATACTAATTTAACTCAATGAGATGCTAGTTTTGCAAGGGAAGTGTTTTAGGTATTTGTCGATTTTGTTATGTATGCTACTTATTGCAATTTGGAGATTCTTCTTATTCTTTTAAAGGAAAGTTTTCATATGTGTCTTTAGGATTATGACAATCGATGCACCCATTTTAGGATAAACGACGATGATACAACAATTATGTTTTTAGTAAGTATTATGAAACTTGTGACAATGTAAAGATTTTTTATACAACTATGTCAAATATTTTTATTTGAAATAAGAGTGATTCTATTAAAGGATTAAAAAAAATTCACAAGAAAGAATTTATATTTTACAAAATTAATTTTCAAATTGCTTATGAAAATCGATAACATATATATTTTTAAGAAGATTTTTCAATACTCAAATCAATAAAAAAAATAGAAAAATTATGGAATATGTGAATGTTAAAAAATATGGTGAGTATTTCCTCAAAAGTTAATATATAAATGATTACTTAGTGTTTGAAATTTGTTACATTGTGATAATGCAAATATGTCCAAATTGTCCGGTTAATATATAGAAGTGTAATAATAATGATTAAGACATATAATAAAAAATTATATACATACATATATATATATATATATATATATATATATATATATATATATATATATATATATATTTATTATGTATTTTGTTGAATATAAATTTTGTTTGTTATGTGAATTTTATATGGACGATCTCACTTATATTTGAAAGGTTAAAATCAGGAGGGGCATGTATGCATTGCGATCCCTGCAAAATTCTGTAACCAAAAGCAGAATTGCGAAATACATCAACCCTAAAGAATATGCTTATGTAGGTATCTCCTCTCTAACACAACCCATTAGGAATAGTAGAATGCAAGCGACCTTTACACTAAAAACAATGCCAGTCACTTGCATTTCTGATTAGGAACCGATTCCAATTTTTCTTTTTTTGTCAAGAAGAGACAGCAAGGGAAAGTGAAGAACAGTAGATTTTACCCGTCGATTTAGCAAAATTATAGATCATCGAACATAGATAACGAGGTAAAATCTCTGATCATAGCTTCTCTATCTAGCTATGTTTTTTTTTTTTTTTTATTATCTAACGTTCTACACATATCCTTTTTCTGAATTCCTTCCACGAATTTGAGCTACCCCGTTCTTGTTTCCAACCCAATTACGGGTACATCATTTTTATCTCACTTTGTTGTTTCCATAGGATTTTGTTCTGTACTCCTGTTGCAACACTATGCAGTAAATTGATTGTACATTGTGAGATATTGTTTAAAGGCCCAAAGTGACTCTGTTGTTGTGCTTTGTCTTATAAGAAAAATTAAGTTCAGTTTGTCAATTATCATTGTACTGTTTGATAATAGTTTCAATGCATATTGTCATTAGATAATTTTTTAGCTGGTAGCAGTAATGCATGTCGACAATTTTGCTTGTTCCTAGATCCTATTCTTCCTTAAGCAGTAACTGAATAACGCTAGTATTGAATTAAGTGAAGAAAAATAAAAGCTCCCGAGAGTTGTTGAACTGGAATGACTCTGCAGGAGTATTAGTTACTGAGAATTTAGATCATACTTATATAAAATTAGTACCTATATCTAAACAATGTGTTGAAAACTGAAATGCGTGTATTATGTTTGATAATTTTGGTTTTTGTTATTCTGCAAAGCTGAAATCAATGATAGAAACTTTGATTAAACTAAATTTCTTAAACTTATGTACCTCTGCCAAAGGTTTGAAGTTGAACCAATGGATTGTACAGCTGCAAGAAGGACACAAAAGGCTGACCGAGAAAAGCTGAGGAGGGATCGACTCAATGAACAATTTATAGCGCTGGTCAACATTTTAGGTAAATCAAATTTCACAATCTTCCGTGAAAAAATTGTCATGAATTTTTATGTTTGTTGCTATTCCTGACTTACTAAAGGTATCCAACTGCCAGGTTCACTTTTGTTGAATGACCAATTGATAATAACTAAACCGTTGTAACTAACAGTACCCAGATTGTATTTGTTATGGCAAGTGTTAGCATTGGTTTGGATATTGTTAATGTCTTTAGTTTGGGAATTGACCTGATTGGAGTTTAATTATTTTCAACCACACGTCTCAGTGATTACTTTAGGTTATACATATGGTGATAGTTTGGATCTAACAAGTTGTTCCTCAGATATTCCTTAATATTTATCCGTGTGTTTGTCACTTGATGAGAACTGTTAAATCAGTACTTCTATTAAATTACTCTGCCTGTGGCGACTCTGAAGTGCAGATCCTGATAGGCCCAAAAATGACAAAGCAACCGTTATAGATGATACCATTCAATTGCTACAGGACCTTACTTCTCAAGTTAGTAAACTTAAAGATGAATATGCTGCACTACATGAAGAATCTTGTGAGGTAATATTTTCTCTTCTCTCTTTGATAAATCACCATGATGCTTTGGGACATTAAATAATCAAGGAAGTAATGACATTTTATTACTTTTCAGTTGGCTCGCGAGAAAAATGATCTTAGAGAAGAAAAGGCTTCTCTTAAATCAGATATTGAGAAGTTGAATTGTCAGTATCAGCAACAGCTCAGGACTGTGTCTCCATGGACTGCAATGGATCATTCAGTAATGGTAGTTCCACCATCATATCCATATCCAGTGCCAATGCCAATACCTCCTTCTCCAATTGCTATGCAGCCATACCCCTTCTATGCTAATCAACATTCTGCTATTATCCCTAACCCTTGTTCAACATATGTTCCTTATTTAGTCCCTAATACCCTTGTTGAACAGCAATCCATCCAGCACATAGCCCCACCTCTTCATCCAGGTTTCCAGTCCCACATGTCGGGTAAACAAGAGTCCAGAAACAAATGCAAGGAGAGCATGGTTGAGAAACGTGAGGATTCAAATGATGTCACTGCAAACCGGACTTCCGGGTTTTCTGCAGACCAGGTTAGTGTTGCTTTGCTTTTAAAGAAATCTAGTAACCTATAGGCTATAGCTGTGATAAAAGAGGTATGGATTCAACTGGTGTTTGTGTTTTGCGTTTTGCAGGATTTGTCATCTGGGCAAATAAAATCTAGCGAATTGTCAAGGAAGCAAAGCAGTTGCACTGAAGTGATTTCGTTAGATAGGTGCTCATCACCTAGGAGCATTCAGGAGAGTTCATCAAGTAGTGTAGTTCACGAGCACAAAGGATAATGAATGAGAAAGGGAACAATGTCAGTCAAGTGCTTATCTCTTTTGAATTGAAGTCATTATGGAGTTTCTCCAGTGTTTAGCTACTACTACTATCTGGAGGTACAAGTCCCTTTTTTTTTTCCTTAAAAAAATCACCTGTGATATCTCTCCCATATAAATAAGCTTTTCCTTTCGTGTAAAAGCTTGACAAATCTGGTTTATACACCCATTTCTTGTAAAAAAGTAAAATTGCAGCGGAAAAACCTCCCAACTTGATTGATGTGGCTAATGTGTAGGGTATGCAAATCACTTCACCTATTGACCTATGACCGGAAATTGTATTTATATTACGAGAAATGCTCGTTATACACTCTTTCTAATATACTCTATTGTTGAATGAAATTTGTTAAAAAAGCTTAAAATTGTGTTAATACTTATGCAATGAACCTCTTATAATATTGTAATTTGTAAATTAACCTGGATCAATAAGAAAGGTGTTTTGGATTGGAACTTGGAAGCAGTATGTTGTTCACAAAAACTATTAGTCGGTTATAAACTACATAAGGATGTTTGGACAAGTTTCTTTATAAGTCATTTTAGAAGAGGAAATAAGAAAAAAGGAAATGAACTTCTCAATAAGCTAAAATCAACTTATATAAGAAATCAAAATAAAAAAAATAGAGAATTTATATGAGAGGACTTCTATAAGTTCGATTATGGAAAAAACCAATTTTAGTTTTTCCTTTGATTTTCTCTCTTAGAAGGAGCTCATGGAAAAGTCTGTCCAAAAATGCCTTTGATTCTTGTTAATTTTCACATGACATTTAATGAGATATTATTAATTTTTCTCTATTAAATTTTAAAAATAAATACATGTCATGTACAACTCAGTGCAACTATAAATAAGTGATCATTCTGACTAATTAATAATGCAAGCTTGTTGAGATGTGGAAAAATTATAAAAATGGTGAGATAATATTGTTGATATGATGAGAGAGATAACAATTCAAAGTAATACAATAAAAATATTGTAGAAACACTATTTAAATAGTATAACACCATAAACTAGACCGTGGGTGGTGGTGCTATGCATTAGTTAGACCACGTGGCAGTAAGAGAGTGGCCCCCATCCCCACCCCGAAGATATCGAGGTGTTTAAGGGAAATAAATAAATTTAGTCGAATAGCTGTTGAGTGACCCGTGGTTAAGTAATACCATGATGCATAAAGAAAGAAAAGCAACATTGTGAGGGGAGAGCAGCTGATGAGCTAACTTACTATCTTTCAGAGTTGTCATTGGATTCTTGACTGAATCTTGAAATGGTTATAAACAATAGAACTAATGCCAGCACGCAGAAACACACTTTCTGCAAGTTTTCTCTTTTTGATCATTGAGTCAAATTCAAGTGTTTGCACAGTATTAAAATCTATTTGATGGGTTGTGGTTTTTTGTACAAGACTAGAAGTAAATGCTATTATTGGCCTTTCTTAGGTAAATAGAAAATTTATCGAGCAGTCTGGCTGAAAATGAGAAGATTAGCCTGATCAAATGCAGAGAATAATAAAAGTGTACCCACTGCTAGCAGACACAAGTATAATATATAGTGTTGCTTCTGATATATGAAATTCGAATTTGGTCTTTCGGTCTTTTGAAAATAAAAGGATGGCTGAACAAATTTAAAAACTTATTACTAGAGAATACATCATCGTTGCCAATATAAGAACAATATTGCGCTTCCAGAATGTTATTATATTCTGTTCCATCAATCTAGTTCAATGTACGATTTTTGTACTGTGATGCTAATGTAAATATTTTCTGAATACCATCTGTTATAAAACATTATCCAAATGATTACGATAAGAATATTAGTTATTTGATTATTATAAAGCGTATTTTTCACTTCATTTTGTTTGTGTTACGATAAGAACTAAAATAAAATTAATAGCATGATTGTTAAAAAAAACTTAATTTATAAGCACTGCTACTACACAGAAAGAAACAGTGGTTGAGCAGAAGTTGCACTCAAAGAATATATACCAAAGCCAGTCTGATATCAGAAGCTAAATATGCTTATATAAATCCTAGAAGACCACCTAGTGTGCTTATGATATAGTTTAGTTATTCTCTGCAAATTGCATTGATTGAGAATAAAAGAGAGAAGAATGGGATGGTTCTACCCTAAGAAAAGTGCAGAATGGAAGGAACGCTCATTGACAGAGCAGACCATGGAGATTGCTTCTCTTTCTCTAAATCTTCATTTATTTGTGATATTTGGCATTGTCCTTGGCTTGTTGTGGCTCTCCCATTACACCACCTACAAAGCTCAGCAGAATCACATAGCCCTTTACGTTCAGTTATTCTTGTCTCTTTCGCCAATCCTATTGATACTCTTCTTGCTCTCATATTCCACCTGTGGAAGGCTAAACTTTTGCTTCATGCCTTCGATGCACAAGTCACTCCAACGAGCTGCGGTGTCTCCCTGGAATCTTGCAGCTACTACCGCCACTGTTATCACTTTGTTACTGATCTTTATTTTATTCTAAGTCGATTTTAGGATCTCTCAGAGAAGGAGACAGAAATTTCATATGGTATTACCGCACAACACAAGTATAAGGAAGCTTTTGTCACAAATTTTATGTTCTTTGTTCGTTTCAAGTCATATACACACATATGCTGTTAACATCACTGAATTATTTGCTGATATTCTGTATGTAAATTAATTTGAAGTCCTCTCACTTGTGAAAAAAGTGGAATTTAATCTCCATGCAGCAATTCAACGGTTTGTTTTTGCTATCTTTTTCTTGTGCTTGTGTTCGTGAGATTTATGAAAGTACAAGTTAAATTAGTAGCACATAAAAATGTGTAAATCACCTTGAACACTTTCATAGATTTACACAGGCATCGTCACATCTGTATCTACATATTTAAGAATTACAAAACTCTGGATTTTTACACTAACTTTAAGTTAAGAGCAAAGATAAAAAGACACAGAAAAGAAAAAAAAAACATATAGAGAAAATTTTCAAATCATGCAAACCAGCTATTAAGAAATTTGGATTGGTATTGAGCCATTATAAGCAACACCAGGATCAAAGCAGCCACACCCCATGGAGAGCTTCCTTCTGAAGGGCCTTGGTGGGTTCTCCTGCTACTCTCCCACGGTAACGAAGCAGAGAACCACTCTGAATTCTCCATAGAAGATAACCAACGAACTATGAGTATTAGCACCACTGGGGTAGCAAATAGTACCCAGCCAAATTGTTCTTCAGCAGTTTCAACAACTTCTTCATAGGAAAAGTACCATGAAATGGCAAAGAAGAGGAAGATGAGTGATAAGATTAACAGAACGGGATATGGCAGGGGATTCAGAGTGAACCCATCCAAAACAGAAGAGGTTCTGCTTCTGCCATAAGCCATTGAAATTGATGGTCTTTTGGGTATTGGAATTCAGAAGTGAGAAGCTTAAAGGACTATTTTTCTTACAGCAAAATGAAAGAATGGTGTGTGTGTGTGTGATTGGTGAAGTTGTAATAGTTTGATTTTTGGAAGTGATTGATAAATAAGATGAATAAAGTTAAGACAAGGGAGGTAGTGTCAGCTGCAGGTACAACAACATGCTGAACAGTTGAGCAAAAAAGTGATAGAATTTCCTTAATGAAGAAGGTTTATGCTATTGGCATGCTCCAACATACCATGACAAATATATGCTATTTTTTCAGTGTTTCAATTAATTGATTTTGACCTGATTGGTTGGATTGTAAATGGCCATTATGATGACCCTTATCCCATTTTGCATGATAAAGGAAGATGCCTTTCAGTTAGTGTCAACCAGGATCTCACTAAGGAAATTTTAATCGAATAAGTTATACTAAAAATATATATTCAAACTATTTTTTTTTTTAAAAAAACTGGTGTTTATTTATACATAGTAATTCTTTACAAAAATTAATGTCTCGTAATATAATGGCCTTTCTGTCACCTTTTTGAGAAGGAAAACCAGAAGACTTTCTATCATAAAATGGCATAACATTTACATTAATATATAAGAGCTTAACAGAGTTGCTTTTTCTAATGCTATTTGATAAACTATCTTTTTATGATTTTAAGATAATTATACAAACATTTAATAAATATGTCATTCATAATAATTACTGTTAAATATATTACATGGGTGTAGGTGCATCTTTTAATTATTCTTATAATAAACCTTTACTTTAGTTCCTCATATTATATGCATTGGTCATTTTAGTCAATTTGTTATAGTTTACCTCAGTTCTTATATTAAAAAGTATCATTCCGGTTAGTTTTAGTTTTGTTTATTTTATTATTAACATTAGATCTTGATGTGAAATGTAAACACTTTAGTACTACTGTTGAGTATGTAAATAAATCATATTTCGGCAAAGTTTTATAATTTGCAACAGTACTTTTTTGGCATTTTTAACCACTTTTGCATGGTCCATTTGAATGCTGATACTGATACCACATTAGATTGGACCAGATATACTTGTCATAAAAAAATAATGCAGCTAGTGATGGAACATATTAGGTAAAGAGTGACATAATAGCTTACACATTTACATTTATTTAATACAAAAAATAAAATAATCATACATAGGTTAAAATTTTAAAATAAAAAAATTAAATAAATTTAAAAAAATTGTGTGTCAATATATTATTTTTTATTAAGAAATGAACAATGGAATAAGTCATTTCCTGCTTTTTCCATTTCTACCCATGACCCTTTCTCTTTCTCCAATAAATTTTTTAGTAAAATCAACTCTTTGAAGTGTTCCTTGAGCTGACATGTTGACACCTAATTTCTGGTCTTTTGGGTTGGATTTTTCTTTTGTACAAAAGTTCAAAAAGTTGGCTTTTTGTGTTTGAGAGTTAGATTAAAAAAGCTATGCAAACTGATTCCTTTTTCACTTACACAGAATGGCCACTTCAGAAATGCTTGAAGATTATTCAATCACAGGATATAACATGTTCAAATTATAGTGACATTACAGATAAGAATGTAATGCTATACAGAAACATTACAATTACTCTGCTAAAACATACATACCATAAATTGTTACATAAACATCAACAGAAGTAAAATTAACATAAAACACAACACCATTCATCCGATCTCATCGGTTTAAGAGTGTTTCGTGTTTTTTTCTTATGCAGAGACTTGAAGATGGAAGATGTGACTGAGAAAAACACTATCTGTAACAGTAGCAGGCATACGTACACTGACAGTATGGTGGTCTGAAAGAAACCTTTCTTCTTGAAGTTCCAAACAAGGACAACAGAAGCAGAATGAGTACGAGGAGTATTAGTGCGACAAAAGGTGAGCTATAGTTGGTTTCTTCTTCTTCTGGTTCACCTGAAAAGAGCTTCGGTGCAGACAGAAGAATCAAGGCCAGGACCAAGATCAGAACAACATTGGGAGTACGAGCATCATCACAAGGTCTTGGTTTATGAACGTAGTAGTAACCCATTGAATCCCTGAGAAAATAACACAGAAATGAAGGTTTTTTATGGAGGAAGAGATTCAGAATGATAAAGTCAAAAGGAACATGAAGAAGGAAAATATTGTAGTTGGTATTATTTGTCATCCACACACAATTTGGTACGTATTTAGTGTTTTAATAATATCTATGAGGCTGTCAAATTCCGTAAGAATGACGATATTATCATCACAGACCAAATAGTGGGGTCATCTACTACCACCTATTCATGATTTTCAATTTCTCACAAACAATTCCGTTTGAAACGAAAGAGTAGCTCTTTATATCAGATTCAGTTCAACCAAATAGATCAAATCTGATTTCTGTATGTTCATATGTCTCTTAAGATTTTTGCTTTCGTTCCTGTAACTTTTTTCAAACCATTCTGGTAAGAAAAAAGTTATTTTTTCATCTCCAATTTTTTCATTTTCGATCATTTCCAATTAATTGTCTAATTGTCTGTAACGATATAGTAACATACTTTTAAATTTATTTGAAACATAATATAAAAAAAAAATAATCATAAAAAAATATTTCGTGTATTTTTTCAAAAAAAAAAATAAAACGTAAAAAAATAAAATCGAATGTAAAAAGTTTAGGTGTTAAAATATTGTTTTTTGTCTAAATATTTAGAAAACATTAATAACAGACAATTTTTTCTTCTCTAACGAAATTTAATTGGTTATTTAAATTAATAAATGTTATTGCTTCTGATAATTGGTTTTTTTAAATATTGTTGCTTTTGATTTTTTAGAATATTTTGAATTGTGCATGTACGGTAAAGATTAGATATATAAATAATTGTATACAATATTAAATACGATGTTAGTTGGTTGACTTTAGATAATAAAATTCTTTAGCTTTTAATTCATGAGATCTACCACATGTGAAAGTGTGTCGTGGCTTTTTCTTCCTGTACCCGTATAATTTCAAAGTGCACCTATATAATTTTTAGAATAATCATAAGAGATTTCAGATTATCTATTTTAAAAATTATTTTTGAAATATGAATTTCAGAACAGGATTTCTAGAACAATATATATATATAATACATTTAGGAACAAATTTTCTAAAATACACCAAATATATGTTAAAATAGGTTTTTCAGAATAAATTCCAGAATATAAATGATAACTTTTAAAATATAAATGCATTGTTTAATAAAATTTATTTATTATCCTTCTAGAATCGACAAATAACAATTATTACGGAAACTGCTTTTGATAAGCTTAATTATTGTTTTATCATTTAATAATGATTTATTTATTTGTTGGTCTTTTTAATTCACACGTGTCACATAGATGAGACACAAAAATCTTCCATTTTTCCACTTAATTTATGTCATAAACAAACTAAAGAAACATAATGTGCATTATAGGCTTAAAATCTTCTTTATGTTAGATACATCATAATCAATAATAGAAACTAATTCAAGTAATGACCCATGTTCATCAATCAATTGATATACTTTTATGTGTCACAAACTATACTTTTTATAATTTGAATTGGTTCAACATAATATTTTTATTACCTGTTTACATTATTTAAATACGATTATGCATGCTATTATAAAAAAAATTAGTAATAAAAAATTTATTATAATTGAACTAAAAATGTTATAAGTGAAATATAATATTCAACATTAATTCTTAATAATAATACCATAAGTAGAACATGTTCTTGTAAAACCTTTGAAAAGGTTAACTATAATAAGTTGTGCTAATATGTTTTTTGATATTTGTTGATAAGTTACTTTTAAATTTCTTTTCAAGAGTTGTGACATTAACTCAACTTAAATCGTCATTTTCAATAAAAAATTTAAGTTGTCTATGTTTGGAGTGATGGATTATTTTTAACATAAAGTTTGAATGAATTTAATCCAACTTAAGTTCGATTAATATAATTAGTTATTATTATCTTTTTGTTATATTATTATTATATTATCATCTTATTATCATATATCCAATGTTAGCTGAGTTAATGAATGAATTGAATTTTATATATTTATACGATCCATTCTGTCATCTGTCTTTAAAAGTAAAAACACTTTTACTTCATAACATAAAGTTTGGATAACCTTTTTCCTGACCCAAATTTAATTAATATAATTAATTATTTATCATCTTTCTATTATATTATTATTATATCATTATCTTATTATCGCATATCAAATATTAACCGAATTAATGACTAACTTTATACACTAATAATATGTATACTTTTTTTACTTATTTAAACATAAAAACTTATTTCCCATATAGTAATAATTAAAAA